TCAAGTGTCGAGCTCCAGGCTTTTGGCATCCCTGCAGGCACACCCGCTTGTGCAGCACAACCACTCTTCAGGGGCATATGCTCGAGCTTGTAGCGTAAGCTGCGTCTGAACTTAAAGGGACCATTAAATGATCTTTAGACTTCTCCCTCTTTCGCTTCAATTCTCAGCTCAAAAGCAAAAGCTAAATGAAACATCACGTGGTTGTGTGACGTGCTTGAGTTTCGGACGCGATGACTGCAAGCTTCCACCGTGCTTTCTAAGCACACCATGGAACTTGTCACTCGCAAGTGATGGTAAGTGCCGTGACGGCCCTCGTTGGCCACGAGCACGAGTCCAAATATTCGTCGACGGATTGATTATTGACGAGCGCATACGTTCGTGTGACGCAGTAGTCGTGTCCAAATCCAGCTACCTTGCTCGGCTGGGAGAACTTCCGTTTTCGGTAGAAAGGCATACTTTACGTCACGGCCACGTGATTTCACGTGTTGGCGGCCAAGTTCGATAGAGTCGAGGAGAAAAGTAGACGTAAGCTTTCATCTTTTGTGTGTGTGTGTGTTTGCAAAAATGGAGGCAATCAAACGAAAACAGATTCCTGCACCGGATTCTATGTTAAGGTTAAGTGATTTCTGCTCAGAGTTCAAGAACACTGAAGGTTAAGCGAAGTCTTCATTTAGAAAAAATCTGGAAAAATCCTTTCATCGTCCCTTTAGGTTGAAACGAACTATAGACTGAAAGGACTTTGACTAAAAATTTCGTGACAGTTTGCAAATATTATTGCGTTTAGCTCAGTTGTGTCGTCGTCGCATATATTGCGAAACGTATTTCGTAAACTATATTGCCACGCGTGTCACCAAGCGAGTGCGGGCGTGGCCGAATGGTTACCATGCATGCTTGGCTTTCTCGTGGAGGCCCCAGGTTCGATTCCTGGAAGTCGAAGCTCCTTTTGTTTATTTTTTCAACTTAGCGTTCTTGTAAGTTTAAGAACATTGTCGTCCGATCGAGGATCGAATCTTCTACGTGCCGAACGTTCTACGCCAAATGTTCCAAAAACCAAAGCTGGTACAAAAGGTGCTCTGCGTGGCAGTCCGTGGTCAGTTTTGCTATTGCGCTCGATGGTGCTACTTTGCCGACCTGCGACGCTACCTCTTCGTCTTTTTGTTTTGGGCGCTAATTCTCCCCTATTAAACGTTTAGTTTCCTACAGCGCTAACCGTTTCACTGCCAGTCATTCGTGACAATATTTCACTATTTATAAGGTGTTCCAAGTCGCCACGCTCGAACTAAAATGGACCGTAAAAATCGACATCTGCACGTAGCAATCTAAACTTTTCGTCACAGGCCGGTTTTTCTTGTAAAATTACAAAGCAAAAATAGGCCTGCAAGACTTGCCAGGATCAATGGCGGGCGGCGACAAAGACGACCAAGTCGAGTAGCGGGACGCGTTTGGCGCGCGTATTGCTAGATGGCGTCGGGAGCAGCATCCGAAGGAGTAGCCGACCAGCGACAGAAAGCAGACGACACGCAGACGAAATCCGTTGGCAGCAAAAACGCCGTCGTTATGCAAATGCGTTTTTTTTAACTTCAAGCATTGCCTTTATTGTCCGCACTCATTTTTTAACCACAGGTACATTACAAAAAGAGTATGTTCATTTTAATAAACCACGGTGGTCGCGAGTAGTCTCAATTAGAGTTCCTGTATAGGTTCCCCTGTACCGGAACTATAGTCTCGATAAGGATATAACGCATCTAGCAATACGGGCGCCAAACGCGCCCAGCAACTCGACTTCGTCTTCTGCGTTGCCACCCATCATTTATCCTTGCTAGTTTCTTGGCCCTATTTTTTACAAAAAGGAAGCTACGCTTTCTAATTTTACAAGAAAAACTGACCTGCAAAATACATCTTTGACGAATAGATTAGATTCCTACGTGCAGGCGTCGATTTTTACAGTCCATTTTAGATCGAGCCTGGTGACTTAGAGCACCCTATATATCTATACAGGGTCTCCCAAAAAATATTTTTACAATTTCTTTTTAGCGCAAAAATAAATTATGCAATGCTTTACCCTCGTTTGGCGCCCAAGGGTAGGTACTGGAGGTCTAAGCCAGAGGCCAAATTTTCAGCCCCAACCGATATGTTATTCAAAATTTATAAGAGATTTGTTAAAATTGCAACGGGGAAAATGGGGCTCATTTCAGGCCGTTTTCGGTTTCTAGTGCAATAAAGTTTTATGTATTCGAGAGCTCCGTCGGTCGCCATTTTTCCCATTGAAATGTTTAGAAAATCGCTTTTGAATAAGATAATGGTTCGGGCTGAAACTTTGCCATCTGGTTCGGAACTATAGCGCTAACCTTTGGGCGGGAAATGAGCGTTCGGCGATGCATAGTTTATTTTTGAGGCGAAGAAAACCCGGTACATTTTTCTTTGGAACACCGTGTATATGGCGACGAGATGCCCATTTTATGACTTTATGGACTAATTAATTTCCTAGTTTAAGATCACAACTACGATTCAACGTTTAATTCTGCGACCGCAAAGTTGCACCAATCACGGCCTATTTTAGGCGATCTACGACACTTCGTGACAATTAACCGTTTGATTCAGGTAAAATATATCTGGCACACAAAGGAAACGATCGTATAAATACGGCGTTTTTTTATGTTAATCTAGACTTTCTTTTACTGTTTCGTCTAAATTCAACAACACAATTTATTATTCCTGGCACCTGAAAATTAAAGTATATATTATGTTTATTAAAGTGGATATTATGTTTATTCGTTTCAGGATAGAAATCGGGCCTATTGTCAAACCAGCGCGGAAAATATGTTATCAATTTAGCGGTTCAAACCCCTTCGAACCGGTTTGAACCGTTATTTTTGCTCCCCGGAACTGAACCCGAACTGAACCGAAAACCGTGAACCCAAACCGAACCGATAAAAATTTCGGTTCGACACTCTGGTCAGTAGCTCCCTCGCCTTCAGCTCCCTCTCAGAGAGGAACAAAGACGTTCCTTCGAAGAACGCGCGTACGCCCACCGCCAGGTGCAGCCTTTATGCGCCAGTTAAAGCCCCATTTCCGACGGATGGTGTATCCACGTTGCATTGCGCGAGACAATCTTGAATTAAAACAAAAACAAAAGCCGCTTTCGGTCGCTTTGTAATTTCCGGATCGGCGCATCTCGGTCTCGTGCCTCATTCGTTTCCAAGACAAGAACTCCCCATCCATTAGGAACTAACTTTCCCTCGCGAATGCCGACGAGGAACTTGTAGTGTTTGCTTTACCGTCCTTCCTATTGAAGAGTAGGGGAGACATATCCGGTTGGGAAACAGGCTGACCAGTGGGTTTTTCACCGGGACTCCGTTTCACCAAACGTTGGACCAAAGCTTACGCTTCAAGAGGCATCGAAACCAATCAAGTACCGCGCGGTGAGCGTCATGTGACCCTCGGGATCGGGCAGCAGCGACACGAGGAGCGCGTTGTCACGTGATACGATACCGGCGCCGGATTGGTTGCGATGGCCCGTAGCATTCGCCGTGATCTGTCTTAGAGACCGACGACCAGTTCGCGCTTTCCACTTTTGCCTCGCTTCCTCCTCCCCCCCCCCCCCCTTTCTACCCTGTCCACCGTTGCCTGTTTCCCCCTCCCCCATTGTGACAAGGGTCTTCTGCCTTGCGGAAGCTCGGGTCTGTCGTCGGTCTTTTAAGGTAAAACGGAGGACAGAATCTGTGATGCCCTCTGGCTGAAAAGGACCCGTAGTTATTATTTCCTCCCCCCTTTTTCGCGTCAACCATTTTACTTTCCGTAGAGCAAGAGACGGGTCAGTTCAAAGAAACCAAAACCTGCATACTAGAATTTTGACGTCATCAGACCGAGATCGAGCGGAGACGCGGATTGGACACAGCGTTCGGATGAACCTCGTGCCCAATGAGCGCGTCGAAGGACGCTGGCCTTCGGGCTCAGGTCCAGCCACGTTAAGGTCATCCAACTGTGATGATGTTTCATGGACGAAGAGAAGGACGTTCTCGGCCCCTGACTATTCAAGGTTGTGTTGGTCAGTCAGTGTTATAAACTTAGTGCGCTCAGCTAAGTGCTTGAAAACAAAAAGAGAAGGGACACTGAACATTCGCAACCTTCAGCAATGGTGGTAACCGTGGTGCGAGAATCGCGCTCCCTAGCACCTTCATCTTGAAGCTAGCTCCTAGCTTCAAGATAAAGGTGCATGCTTACGCCTTCCTGACGCGGGAGTATGACGTAACGCTCTCATATCGCTCGTACATTTTACAAGATTGGAATTAATTTCGCGTCACACACCGAACCTCCTTTAGCTTCTCTACGACGACCGTACAGGCGACAGCAATTTTGATACGAAATAGAGCGACCCCATATAGACCTTTGCGAAAATCACCTTCTGCGAGCAGCCATCTTTGTCTGCTGGGCTGTGGAACACCCTCCGAGCATGCGGTGTTGCTCTGTTATGCGGCATGTCAGACGCTGCACATGCATCCACAGCTCAGTAACTCAGCATTCTTCGCCCGGGTGATAAGCGACGGAAAGGTCTATAGGCCGTGCACGTGGCGAATATGACCCGTCTTTATGTTCATTCCCTCATTCGCAGGTTGTATATTCCAGCCGCATTGGGGGTTGAGTGTATGTTTACACAGCCTAGAACTTGGTCTGCTTCAACGGGCAACGAGTCTCCCACCTGTAGATAAGAAATGTAGCCAGTGCAGTACAACCGCTAGCCTGGGGCCTTTAACGTGCATCACGCAGTAGTGATGCACGACCGCACGCTGGTACGATGCTCATCCAGATCGAAACGGCCAGGGGTGGGGATTGAACCCGGGATCTTTGGTTCTGCAGCGCGAGCTTTCGCTCCATGTGCTCCGAGCTGGGCCTCTCGAATCCCTAAATGCGTTTTAGGGATCCCAGTGGTTGCCATAGCGGGTGCCATGCGGAAAAGTAGACGCGCAGGCAGTTTAGAGCTCTGCCCTTGTTGTGCCCAGGCATCACGACGGTGCTGACGCTGTCCACGTTCGTGCTGGACACGAGGACGGACCTTCCGAAGGTCCCGTACCCGACCTCCCTGGACTGGTTCGTCATCATGTGCTTCTCCTTCGTCATCTTTACTCTGCTCGAGTACGCCGGCGTCCACTACTTCACAAAGGTGCACAGCCTTTTCACCACTCACACCGTAGCCTCCTATGCACCAACACGTGACTCTGACGTCACACCACTGCGGTGGCGCTGCTGTCGGCGCCGCGCATGAGCAGACGATTCACTTTGTGCGAATCCGCATGTGAATCCGCGCGCACAATACCGGAAAGCTGGTGTGGACGAACGGGGGCTTCTTTGTAAACAGCGTTGACGCCGCAAAAATAGACAGCCCAGTTACTGTAACGTAGGGAGCAACTGCTGCAGGCAACAAGGAAAGAATCTTGAAGGAAGCGCCACACAGGTATCGTGAGGTGAACCATTCATTTTTTTTTTTTTTTTAATTTGGCGAGAGATACGAAAAAACAAAACTAAATATATAAGCCTGCATAGTGGAAGTATGAGGATCCGCTGAGAGACCGGGAAAGGAGGGTACAATGTAAATGAAGATAAATTGCGAAAAATAAAAGTAGGCTCCCCTTTTTGTCATGTTTTGTCGTTCAGTCTATCCCAGTTTTGTCGGCTGAATCTGGCGTCCAAGCGTCATGTTTCATCCCCTACACAGGAGGCTATGTCCGTACGCATTGAATGATTTTTCTTTTTTCTAACATAATTTTATGTATTATTACCTCGTACCTCCGTCTCGTCCGCTTTTCACTACGTATCCCCGCTAGTTTTGACGGGGAAATTCAGGCTTGTTCCGCTATCCTAAACCTGCAAGGGACTATACACCGCCACGCCGTTCACAAACATCAGCCCGCGTTTGCCCACACCAGTTGTGAGCTCTGCGCACGCGCAGAAGCTAGATTCGAGTGAAGGGAAGCGTCTGCGCATGCGCCGTGACGACAGCAGCGCCCTCGCCGCGTGCTAACGTATAGCAACCATTCACACAGGGTTTACGAAGTCCGGATAGCCACCCTATGCTCCGTCTCACTCTAAGTTCGACCGCAGTCGAGGCTAACGACCTGACGGAGCCAATCAAGCTCCGCCAAAAGCGTGTCGTCACGGCGGTCGTTGTCTTCGTGTTACAAACAGTAAAAGTTGTAACGTATGCAACTTAAAAATTGTTATTTCCCTCTTATTAGTCGGGGAGTCGTAACGGCCAATGAAAATTCCGAGGTACACCCGCCCGTTGCGGCACGCCGACGGTAGGAAAGAGCGAGAGTGGAGAGGAAAAACTAGCAAGAGTGACGTCATCAGCGGGGTACCCTTGCTCGCCACTGAGCCGCTTCGAGATTGCCGTCGATGACGTCACACCGCTCTGGACAGATAACAGGCGGCAGAAAAAATCGCCGCGTGCCCGGCGGCAATCGTTGCACGTATTTTTTTTTTCTTTTAAGGCGCTAGCCTTATGTGTCCATCACGGGAAAAGGCGGCATCGGCGTTATCCCGGAAGACGGCCATAAAAATGCATCGCCAAGCACGCGCCGCCCAAGGTCAAAGCGGACGCGCCTCAGAAATAAAACTCATAGAGAAGTGCAGCAACGCAGGTGCTTCGTCACAGAAGCCGTGCAGCCGGCGGGGGTGCTGCGCCTGCGCAGTGGGGGAGCGTGATGGTGCCGCCGGCGCAAAAACATTTCACCCGCGGGACTATAATGCTTTCGCATTCCTACTAGGGTGACCACCCGTCCCGCAGTTCGCGGGACTGTTCCGCATTGAGGGCTCGTGTCCCGCGTCCTGCAAAAAATTCCCAAATTTTCAAAATGTCCCGCATTTCACATTGTCGTGATATTCACTACGCAAATTATGGCGCTTTCGAACGACGGGGCACGGGGAAGCGCGGAGGTCGCTGGTAAGCGTGTGAATCTTAATGGTATGACATTTTATATCGAAGCACTGCGGGAAGCGACCGTCGTTCTTGCAGGAGAACCGACGCGCATGCGCCATTGTGCCTCTCCCCTTGATGAGAAAATATTGCAAGGGAAAATTGCTCGGAAAAAGTTAAAAAATGAGCTATTGGAATTATTTGCAAATCATGCTGTGTTATGCAAAGGGGTTAGTGTAAAAAGCTTTTTTTTTTCGTGCGAAGACGGCTACACAAGGCAGAAAGCTTGCAACTCCCAACGGTCGAAACAAAAAAACAACATAAGGTTATAATTTTTTTGTAGGAGCATGTTAGTATAAGAGTGAGTATCGACGGGAAACAATAAACCGAAAAATAGTTATGGTTTTTGTTCCTTTTGACGCATTGGTGTCTGCCGCAGTCGATTTTTTATGATCTTTTTTTTTTTAACTTAGACACCTGAAATAAAATATTTACCATTAATATAACATGCTTCTGAACAGCACAGGATTTCGGGCTGTGCGTGTTGATGAATTTTTCTTTGACACTTTCTTCTTCAGTCATGAAAGTGACGTCCTCCTCTTCTTAGCCCTCCTCCTCCTCCTCCTCCTCCCCCCCCCCCCCCCCCCCGTCAGGATGTCCCGCATTTCGACGGCAGGAAGGGGGCCCAGGTGATGTCCTACAAAAGCTACTGCTGCGCTATTTGGTGCGCCAACAGATGGGAAAACATAAAAAGCCTGGCGTTACTTAGTTTCTTTTTAGAGCGCCGCTCTTAGGGGCCCGTTTCCGGCTTGAGCGGCGTCGGCGTCGCCGTCGGCGTCGGCGTAACCGCGCGGTGCATCATGGGAAATGTCCCATAATGCACCGCGCGAGCCCCCCACCGGGGTCACGTGACCTCGTGGGGGGCACGTGACCCCCCGAGGTCACGTGACCCCGGTGCATCATGGGAAATGCCCCATAATGCACCGCGCGAGCCCCCCACCGGGGTCACGTGACCTCGTGGGGGCACGTGACCCCCCGATGTCACGTGACCCCCGAAGTCACGTGACTCCCCTGAGGTCACGTGACCCCCGCCGATGTCGCGTGAACCCCAATGACGTCATCGTCACTGATGACGTCACCGGCCTCCACATCGTCATCGTCATCATCACTGATGACATCATCATCTCTGATGACGTCACAGGCATCCACATCGTCATCGTCATCATCACTGATGACGTCACCGGCATCCACATCGTCATCGTCATCATCACTGATGACGTCACCGGCATCCGCATCGTCATCGTCATCATCACTGATGACGTTACGGACATCCGCATCGTCATCGTCATCATCACTGATGACGTCATCAGTGACATCACTGATGTCGTCACCGGCATCCACATCGTCATCGTCATCGTCACTGATGACGTCACCGGCATCCGCATCGTCATCGTCATCATCACTGATGACGTCACCGGCATCCGCATCATCATCATCACTGATGACGTCATCAGCGACGTCACTGATGACGTCACCGACATTCGCATCGTCATCGTCATCATCACTGGTGAAGTCATCAGTGACGTCACTAATGACGTCATCGGTACCCGCATCGTCATCGTCACTGATGACGTCATCAGTGACGTCAGTGATGACATCATCGGCATTGGGGGTGACGTGACCCCCAAGGTCACGTGACCCTCAAAGGTCACGTGACCCCCCCCCCCCCGTTAGTTTAACCCCCCCCCCCCCCCCCAGTGCCCTTCCCTCCTCCTCCTCAAGAGCTGCGCTCTAATTCGGCGTTACAGGGAGTTGTAAGCAGCTTTCACTTTTTTTTCCTTTTCTTTTTTCAAGATAAATGCGGTTTAGGTTTACTTCAGCCCACGATAGGGGCGATAACTGAATTCACCGGACAAAAAGCCATAGAAGTCCGCTCGTAACTCATATTTTTCGAAAAGTTGTAATGATTGAAGATGAGCGTGTTGGTGAATAGTATTTCCTCATTTCTCGGTTCTTTGTTGGACCTTTCAGCAGGGTTGGGGGAAGCCACTCCTCCCTTTCACCAGTGCTCATTCCAGCTCAGTTAAGCGTTGCATACTGAGGTTGTTTTTCAAGTCCTCATTCGCTAAGTTGTGTACGCATTCCCCCGAAAGTAGCCTCAAGTTGCAGCGTGAGAGACTGAACAAAAGCTGGCTTTCCTGCGGACCTACTTCGTTCTCCGCACACGTGAAGTTGCGCCGGGCCGCAACTTCACGCTGCATTTAAACTATAAGGTGTTATTAATAACTGGGATCGCTCTAATATCGGTGGAAAAAATCGGCGCCTACATTTTACGGTCTCAAATTTTTATCAAAGGTGTATCTTAGGGTTGGATTCTGCCTTGTGAAATTTCCGTGGTGTAGCAGTCTCTTGTGCGAAAAATTTAACCAAGAAATTTGCCATGGGCGATGTCGGACACCGACGCGAACGATTGAGTTAATCGAGAATTTTGCTTGTTGCGCCACGTCGCGATAGGCGCAGGAAGCAGACGACGACGTCGCCTGCTTTTCACCAAGTGCGTCGTCTGGTTGGTGCGTCCATCGGAAGGTGGCGCCACAAGCATAACCGTAGGTTAATTTGGTCGTCAGTGTAGGCATCCTCCGCTGACCATTGTGACGGGACTGATCGCTTCTTCTCAGGAAGGGAACTACACTTTCAAATGCACTAAGATAAAATTCACCAGTTACTAAAATAACAGTTGGTCGTTTAATATCATTCGGTCCTTTATATAACATTCGGTCCTTCATATTGCGAGCTCCGGTATTCATAACAACTGTAAGGTTTCATGGCTTTTGTAACCCTTCTTGCCGTTCTTTCTGGCACAGCCGCTCACTTGAAGTTGTTGAAATGTGAATATCAGGAAAATGAAAAAAAAGGGGGCACAGATACTGTAAAACTAGTAGGCGTACTAGTCTCGCAGTGCATAAGCAATTACTGCATTTTATTCGAAAAACTTTTATCTTTTTGCTGTTATATCAAATATTTCTTCCCCTTTTCACCAAGGTTGGCAGCGGAGAGTTCCCGCTCACCGCGGACGGTGAGAAGGAAGAAGGGCATCTTCCTTCGCGGCCTCCAGCTGCGGGGGGCTCCGACCCCGAAGAGGACGATAACGAGGTCCCGGACTTCTACGTCCCACTACAGACCATCGATCAGTGCGTTTGCCGAATGAACATGGTGGGTGATGGCCTGTGGTGCTTTCAGTCTCTGCCGCTGTGGCAGCACCCACCACAGCTTGTCCTCCACGCGAAAATGGACAAAGGCCGTTCCCACGAAACCCCACCGCCTTTCATAATTCTGAGCCACGATGGCAGAAGGAAAGGGGCGCATGACTAGAAAAAAAATAAAGAAAATACATACAGGGTGTTTAATTTTAATTCGAGCATATTTATTTTCGAAAACGCCGTGACAAGCAGACTAACGCGGTTTGTGCAGGTGCATTATACGGTCGAAGGGACATGATATAGGTGGCTGATCGTCACAAAAAGTCCAATACTGAAATAACTAAAATTTGTTAGTGGGCTGTACAATTAGTAAAAATAAGCGAATTGTTCCAACTAGAAACTTGCTGAGCGTCATCTAAAGCCTCTAAGTCAGTCAATTTTATACAGACCGAAAGCACGCCGTAAGCACGGTGGTCAGATAGCGGTCCGAAAAAGTGAATGAAAAAATTAGAGAGTTCTAATACGTTCCGATCCCCCCGATAACTAGACCCGATAACGATACCACACATGCGCAAAGGCGGCGGCGGAGTAATGGGAACCGTTATTGGAGTCATCAGAACGATCTACTAAAACTCTGTAATATCCGCTTCTTTTTTTTTAGCGAGTTGTAGCTGTTGAACATGTGGAAACTTGAGCGCACCCCAGCTCTTACCGCGTGCTTCAAATCTTTTTAAAATCGATTGATTTATTAGTTTTAGAAAAGGTTCAACAAGAATATGTTTGCAACCATGTGCCGTTTTTCACTTAATGAAAAAGTTCATGAACAAATTTTAGTTACTTCTTGGCATACAGTGATGATTAGTCCCCGATATTATGCCCCCCTGGCCGCTTAACTCACTTACCTTTCACAGCTTTATTCTGCCTTGCAAGCCTTTTTTTTTTTCAATAAATATGCTCGTATTAAAATCAAACGTCCTGTATATCTAGGGTGGCAGCAACTATGGCTGTAAAACACGCCGTAGAAGTCAACGCCTGCAAAGGAAGGTTATTAGTTTCTTCAATGGCATATTTCAGAGGTTGATGTTTCATCGCAAAATTTAAAGCTGTAGTTCTGTTGCTGTAAAAACTTAGGTTACATGCTTCACATTTTAGGCGAGGAAAAATTTCAGAGACGCAAAATGAACTAACTTTAGGGCGGGTGACTCTCCGCCGCCGCTCGGACAGACAACCGAGCAGCCGGAGAGTGGTGGTTGTGGCGCCACCTTTCGATCGCCGCGGTAAGCACTCGGTCGAAAGGAGGCGCCGCAGTAACTGTGCTCCAGTTTTGGCGCAGTTCTTTCTTCACCTATCGAGAGATGGCACCACGAGGACGGTTCTCTGTCTACTCGGGCGTCTGCGTCGGATCCAAGCATTACACATATTAATATGCATATACAGATTTGTGGATCATGTTACGTCCTTCGATTGAAATACATTAACTTTGCCGACTGAAAGAGTAATTAAAAGCATATAGCCCAACGCCTTTTCTCTGACGTTATGTCGCGGCGGCGGCTTTGCCCACAACATGGCGCATGCCGGACCGTTCACCTCTAAAGCCGGCTCCTTCGGGCGCGCATCGCATTTCTAAAAAAAAGTCGCGCTGGTTCATACGAGACAACTAACGATGAGAACATTATTAAAAACAGCGCAAAAGGACGGGGCAATTGTAGAAGGAGCACACAGGACGGACGCTGACTAACAACTGAAAGTTTATTCGAATTTCCCAAGCGCACATTTTCTCGAACATGCAGTTTCTCATATAATCAGATATCTTGTGGGGTCATGCACGGAATAAAATCGGCACTAGATAAATCCGAGCGATGGCTGGTGTAAACGAGCCGCGTCGCACGTAAAGACGTAATCAGATGGTTGACGAAACGCGTATAAAAATATGACTAACCACTGGTGATGAATTGCAGTTCCCCTGCTCGTCAAATGTACCGACGCGATACTGAGACAGCGATCTTGTTCGCAGGTGAGTACAAGGGCCGCTTCCAACATCTCCCTTTCCAACTTTCCTCTGCTGCGTCCAGCCACCAGGGACTCTAAACTCGTCAAACACATAGTTGGGAACGAAGTTGACGGAGCGCATCGATTGGCATATCACGACGATGACTTCGAGGTTTTTTCGCCGACGTCCAATTGGCCCGCTACGTGAACTTTAGCTCCAACCATGTGTTTGACAAGCTTAGAGCCCCTGGGTGTTGTCCAATAAGGGGCAACACCCACAATCCTTGCAGTGTATAGACCTTCGCAACTCTTATCACCCGGACGAAAAATGCTGAGTCACTGAGCTGTGGGCGCATGCACAGCGTCCAATATACCGCACAGCAGATGGACAGCGCATGCTCAGAAGGCATTCCACAGCCGAAGAGAAGGATTTCTGCGCGCAGAAGGCGATTTTTTTGCAAAGGTCTGTTGGCAAGTGAGACCCATGGCCGTTGTTGAGCGAAGCCGCGTGATCTCGCAGTCTGTCGTTTAAACAGCGACCTTCAGAACACGTGTGGCATATGTACTGACTCCTTTCTAGAAGTGCTAAATTTCTACCTAACTTCTACCCTCGTTTGTTACAAAGGTAAGGTATATTTGCAGAGGCGCGGTATTTGTATCGGGTCCCCTGTTGTGTGAAATCTTTTTCGCCAAGTCTGACTGTAGCGTTTCGCATGCTTTGACTGACGTCCCGGTTGTTAAGATTTGCAGATATGTGGATGATTTTATTGTTTTCGTGTGCATGCCGCCCGAGACACGCCTGGACTATGTTGCTCAGACTGTATTACGGGATTTTGATCGCTGTTCGAACCATTTATGTTTCATGCTTGAATTGCTGGCGGAGGGTTTTTTACAGTTTTTATATAGTATACGTTCATCTTTCAACTCCACCAAACATATATGCTAGATATACTTGCCACGAACACAAAAAGGCCCTTTCACCCCTTGACTCGGCCCACTCCAAATTGGTTAAAAGGGGTATCACCTCACTGTGCCTTCTTTCGGATTTATTACAATCCTGCGCACACGTAGTTCGCGAGAGCTTTGACCGTCAGGTACTACATCGCCTGAAACAAGCAGGTTTTTCCCGTTTTCTTTCGTGAGGAATGGTTTAATACCTCCTAAAAAAACTTAAAAACCCAGACAAGGCACCTACGAAACGGTTGAAAAAGTGCGAAGTGCTTCCCTACGTGCACAAGGCCTCACATAACCTGAAGCGTATAGGAGGAGCCGAGTTCAACGTTAATGCTGTTTTCACAGCTCCCTGCAGACTGTGAAAAATATAAGCGATGTTGAGCGGGAACAACACTAAACCTAAAAAAAATGACCGCATCTCCACGTGGTGAATGATGTTGATTGGGGCGAAGCTCTGGTGGTGCTGATGATACTGATTGTGTTCATAGGTAGTGCTGGTGTCAAAAAAGAGAATGTGTGGTATGGAACGTGGTTATATACGCATTTGAGCACTTGACCACAGCGCCCTCTCGTCTATAAACGTTGAGCAAATGCATGCAAAGTTTAACGCGATTATAAACGCATTTGACCGCAGCGCCCTCTCCTGTATACATGTTGAGTGGCTACATGCAACGTTTCATCCATGACGTCCACAGCTCTTGAGTTACTACCACATCTCAGAGCCCCCTACTCACCCCGCAGTCGTGGCCGAGTGTTTAAGGCGATAGACTAGAAATCCATTGGGGTCTCCCCGCGCAGGTCCGAATCCTGTCGACTGCGCAAACATTTTTCTTTTCTTTTTTGAAGAAGACAGATGGCATGGCAATCGATGTGAGTACGGACACCGGACGGACAAGGCTAGACCCTAAGGAGCTTCGCCCCTAAAACAGAAATGCGTCAAGAAGTACTCCAGGCACTTTGTGCCCTGCGCCACTGAATTTGTGTACCGCATTCCTCTGAACTATGGTCGAGTTTATGTACGCCAGACCGGCCTTTAAACGACAGACTGCGAGCGCACGCGGCTTCGCTCAACAACGGCTATGGGTCTCACCTACCTATACACTGCAAGGATTGTGGTTGTTCCCCCTTATTGGACAACACCCAAGTGGCAGGACGCAGCAGAGGAAAATTGTAGAAATAGTTGTTGGAAGCGAATTTTTATACTTGCCTGTGTCAGTGCCGCGTCCGCGTATATGACGAGCAGGGTTTTGCAATTCATTAACAGTGATTAATCATATTTCTTATACACGTTCGATCACCCACCCGATTACATCTCAACGTGTGACGCAGCCGGTTTGCATGAGCCAACGTTCGGATTTGTCTCGTGCCGATTTTACTTCGTGTATGACCCCAGACGACATGTGATTAGACTCGCACATGCACGTGCGAGACACTGCGCGCGTGTGGAATTTCCAATAAGCATTCGGTTGTTAGTTATCGTCGGTCCTATGTGCTCCTTCTTCTTTCGTACCGTCCTTTTGCGCTGTTTTTGTTTATTTGTTTTTTGAATATAGTCGTTCACACACCAACCAGCCCAGCAGTCCACCCCTTTAAACAATAAGAAAAGCGTGTGAGTGAACAGAAAAAAAAAAAGGCCCGGGTCCCACGCAGCGGAGCACCGATACGGGAAGGAACACGCCCCAGGCACTAGGGAGTTTTAGGGAACCGTTGTTTGCACATCCGATACGATTCGATGCGCAGTCCGGTACAAACTTACATGCATGTGCAGGACTCCTGCACATGCTCGGTTTGTGCTGGAGGGCCCATCGCACCGTATCGAACGTGCAGAAAGGCTGCCCTGAAACTCCCTAGTGTTTGCAGACAGAACTTTGTATGATGTAATAGCTGCGTGACCGTCTCACGCGCGGGGCACGTAAACAAGCTGACAACCGAAGTGGACCGCAACTTTCTTCCGGTCGCCGGCCCCTTGTCAGTTATTCATGAACCGCCCGAAACAAACAGACAAAAAAACTCTACAACCTCCCCTCCCCTCCCTCCCCCCCCCCCCCCCAAAGAATATAAATGAATACATATCCGCACCAGCCACGGGCGCGAGAGCGTCAGTCCGGAACGAACAAGCGGTCCCTTCGTTCCTCGCTCCTCTGCCGCGAACAAACAGCTGGGCTCGAGCGAGCAGAAACCCGGACTTGGGCAGCTGTAGAAAACGTAGGAAATCGCTAGCAAACAAAAACCAAAGGCACGCTAAAAACAGAAGCGAACGAGATGCCATGTTGAGAAGAGTTGTTGCCTTTATACTCCGTTCACCGCTAAGCTAACAGTGGGGTGGAAGCTACCTGCTCGTTGGACCTGCCTATCTTTCGCCACGCGATCACGCTCACGCCCACACCCACGCGCAGAGAGCGGAGTCAGGTGATGAAGGGGTGACGGGTGACTGGTCCGGCAAACTCGTAGTTTCTATCGCACTGTCAGCTTGAGGGTGAATGGAACGTAGTCCCGTGGTCTCTCTCATCGAGCCAGGATCCTGCGGTAAGCGAAGGGGCGGAAACATCGGTTGATAGACTCGAAAACAGGGCGGTGGGGGGATACGCTCCGTCGGACTCCAATCACACATGCAGATAGGAAAGGAGACAGCGCGGAGTTGCTCGGGGCCGGAGCTCTTGTTCGCGTTCTTTCCACGTGGGGCTATTTGTTGGTTGACCGACTGCGCCCTCGGGAACAATCGTGCGAGCCGACCTCCTGAAAACGCTGCCGAACAACAGAGGACAAAGCCTGTTGTTTTTTGTTGCGTAGTTTATGCCGTCGTGGTCATCGAGAATGCTGAACCAATCGCTTGTCTATGCGTTTGTCAAATGCAACTGCACTTGCTGCTTTCGTGGCCACCTTGAAAGACTGTCTCAGAAAAGAGAAAAAGAAGCGGGTGTCATGGTTTTGACAGAGAAAAAATGTTGTGATAATCGCTGTGGCGTCGCTGAAATTCGGACAAAAACAACGACTCTTCTAGTTTTGTCGCTGACCGGATACCAATGTGTCGGCACTTAGCTTACAGTCCCCTGTTTCACATAGACTTGAAAGGCCCTCGGAACAAACTTTAAATCTTGTATCCCTCGGCCTACATCTGTAAAAACCTTTCCGTGACCGCAGGACTGCGAGTCTGTGGTGTCGGAGTCTCCTGTCCCTGCCCGCTACCTGGAGTACGTCCCGTCCAGGAGCCATCAGGAACTGCACCACCGGGCGCGTCGGAGGCGGAAGCACTACCACTGCTGCGCCCAGTTCCTCTACTGCATGGTGGGCAACGAGCGCTTCCGCAACGAGATGAGGCTGCGCGCCGACAGGGGCGCCATCGTCAACAGCGTCTCGCAGATCGACAGGGTGTCCCGCGTCCTCTTCCCGTTCTGCTTCATCCTCATCAACCTCTTCTACTGGTTCAGCTTCGGAAGGGACCGTCCCGAAGGCTGGGGCGTACAAGAAAACGCTTAGGGACCATCTTCGTCAAACCTGGAGGTGACTACTCTCCCGCAAAGCACTTGGACTCGTACTTAAACCACAATCCGCAAGGTGATTCGTCATGTTCATTGCCATTGCGCGGTCTCCTTGTGTAGGTCTAAACAAATTAGAGAGCTTATGTAGATCGTTTTGGCACTCTCGCTACCCTATACGCTAGGGATGCGCCATACTGCGCATGCGCGCTGCTAACATGGCAGAGAACTAGCGGAGCGGCGGAAGCTGTGGCGGAACCGCGCTGTTTTACGAAGATTCCGAGAAACGTCAAACGCGCCGCACGGTGTGCTAGCGTGGATCTCACGGGAGCGAGTCTTTTGCGAGATTAGGAAGAGCCAGTGACAGGGACACCATTCTAGATGTCCACCACGCCGCATGCGCCCGCTTCGTCGTTGCGCTTCTCAGGGGCGTATGATATCTGACTGCTGCGAGGAGTAGACGCGACCAATTCACTCCAGGACGGCGACAGGTAGTGACTCGTCAAGAACTTGCGATATACAACCACGCGAGAAAAAAAAAAAAAAAAACATTACTGCAGTGCTCTCTTATTTGACGGCTTTTGCCGTGGGCCAGAACCAACCAAAGAAGCGAGCGAGCAGACGGATTTTGTGAAAAGTGAGAAAGACAAAAAAGGCCACATCACAACGACAGAACACAAAGGCTTTGTTTGCTAAGAAAATGGTCAACTTGCAGGCGAGCTGGTACGTATTAATTTTGATGTTTAAACAATGAGACCGCGTTTGACGTCGTCAAGCACCTAGCCTTCAAGGCTCGGTGACTGACTCAAATCAGATCAGCTTGGTCAGCTCTTCCGTCAGTTGTATTAAATTACAACACAATCATTCACTTATATAAAAAGCAAAGCTGAACACTTTACTCGATAACAAATGAGTCGGAAAAAATGCCCTGTGGTGCTGAATTAGCTCTCGTAACCTATACAATATATAGCGGTATGGTGCCTGGAACCCGTCTCCGAACGGTGTGCTCGTTTACCGATTCCCCGAAAAGTGGTCCCTCGATTTTCGTCTGATGACGTGAAAGGAGTGTCACGCTACCGCCGTCCGCGATCCTGGCGGCGAGACAACAGCGGTGGTGGATATTGCAGGCGCCTGCTCTGCTGCGGGTCGCTCTTCAGCTGGACAGTACACGGAAGCTTCGGCAACCGGGAGTTGTGACGCTCCGACCACAGCGACACTCACGTTCAATCGTGCTTTTCGCCGGCATTTCTACGAACAACCGCCAGGATCGCGATCATACGACAGCACGACACTCCGGCTCTTGTGACATCATTTGTTGCCACCCGGGACCACTTTTTATACATGGGCAGAAATAGGACCCTAAACACACACGTCGGAATAGCGAACTTTCTACTAAAACTTCAAATCGCGTCTCCGCTACAATGCGCGTGGCGAAGGTCGTAGATCTGGATTATACGGATAGCTTATACAGGGGGATGTGACTGAACGAGCAACTAAAACACTCTATTATCCGCCCAGTCATTGGCAAAGCTCTCTTCGTAGACTTCGCCGATCGGCTCTGCCAAGTGCTTTGCGGAAAAGGAGACTCTCCACATTTTTTTTTTTTTTTTAATACACCGACGATCGTTTCTTTTTGTGTTTGTGTGTTCGTTAATGCCGCTGTAGTTACGGTGCCCCTCGAGGGTGGTTTACACATTTGCGTTAAAGTGTGCACAACTAGGTTGCGTTTTCTAATAACCGTTGACAAAGAGAGACCACATCGATACACTGTCGCCACCCATCAGGTTGCCCTAAAACACTTTCGATTTTTTTTTTCATATTGCGACTTGCATGTATTTGACTGGAGGTGCACACCTCCCCTGGTTTTTACCATTTCCCTTAGCCCCGAAAAAAAAAACAAAAAAAACACACACACTTCATTTGTTTATTTTTTTATTGTGGACCTGAGGTATTGTGGACCTGATATAATTTTTTATTGTGGACCTGAGTTACTGATGCTGGGGAAACAGGTTGATCACTAAACGGCTACACAGACACAGGACAAGACACATACGTAAAGCTGTGTCAGTGTCTTGTTTGTGTCTGTGTAATCGTTCAGTGTTCAAGCTGTTTTCCCACCATCAGTGACAATGTACCAACTAGCTCAACTCAAACCGGTAATGACGAGATCCTTCTGACAATGCATGTTACAAGCAACCATTTCTCATAAATAGCGCGTAGATCTGATCTTGGCAGATACTGCAAGCCTTAAGTCTATATATTTTGTTTCAACTTAAGTCCAGACGCAGCCGACACTACGAGCTGGTTATACCAATCAGACCGCGTCAAAAGCGCACCGTCATCGTGTTCTTCGTGTTTATGTACGTGAATTGTATCGTTCATGAACTAATCGTATACAGGAAAGGCCTCCGCTTTCGACACCACGTGATTGATCCCCATAGCTCGTTAGCGTCGGCTGCATCGGCTGACTTAAGCTGAAACAAAGCATACACCAACACAGTGTTTACGAACAAGCCCGCTTTGCCCACACCAGGTGTGGGCACTGCGCGTGCGCACAAACCGAATTCGAGAGGAGTGAAGCATTTGCGCATGCGCAGTACCAACAGCAGCGCCACCGCAGTGGCATAGCGTCAGTGAGTTGGGTTGGTCTATAGTTTGTGAGGGTAAAAGCGCTAAAAACAACGGTCTTTTGCTTGTCCGTTGTTATTAGTGCTTTTACCCTCACAAACATGGATCATTAACTAGCCCAAGTGCATATCCTTCTATGGTCTATACTTATACGCAGTTCCAGGGCTACCCGATCGTTGGCGCTAATGTGGTAGTATTTTACTATAGGTGGCGCAAGGCGCCGCCCGATTGAAAAGGTTCAACCACATCCACTGAGAGCTTAGTCTTCACGCTTCTATACGTCTTCGTTCTTTTGTTGCTTCGACCCGATGCAGCCATTCAAGCAGCTCCAAAACTGCATCGTCACGGCACCTGTGGACTTTATGGATTTGCTGTCACCGGCTAAACCAATCACGCCCATAAAAGAAAAAAACTCGGGATTATTTACGGCGCGATTAGTTTACGTGATCAGTGTGGTTAGTACAACAAACGCACAAAGACCATGAGCGTCATGACGATGCACTTTTTACTGCTTGGTTGTCTCCGTTATATTGGAGCGTCGACTAAGGCCGGACTTGAAGTAGACTTTAGCTTCGTGAATCGTCCTTCGGCAATCTCATCGCGCGATGTCTCATTCTCGTTGAGCGGCACTATGCGGAGCGCAAGCTCGTCGGCTTCTTGCACTGGGTTTGCGAGGATGTCAGAACGCCGAGCTCTTAATGGTTGATTGAAACAAATACTGGGTAGACCTCAAAGCATTAGAGCATTGGGGTCTACCCACTATCCTTTTAATCAAAGCCAATCAGAGCTCGGCGTCGTTCTGACGTCACAGCAACCCCTGCGCAACAAGCAGACGACTTGCGCTTCGCATAAGATTACCAACTCGCCGCGCCTCGCGTTCCGTAGGCTGTCGGTGGCTCTAGGCACTTTCTTTTTTGCCTACGCGGGTGTTCCGAAGAAAATAGTCTCTCTTTGTAATTAGTCGCGTGACAAGTATTTTATGGACGGCCTCAGGGTACCATATTGTGTGCCAACTACCTGGAGCTCGTCGACGGTCGGGTACACGCACTATTTTTTTTTTCAATTCAATTGAATGTTTACTTTCTCTCGTGCTGACCAACAGCTCGAAGGCATTTTCGGTAAAGCACCACACTACGATGTATACACAATTGGAGAAATACACACAATAAAATGTGTACACCTGCCTAAATTCTCAGATTTGCCTGAATTCATACTCGCACGTAAATTCAAATACACGCTTAAATTGCGTGTTTTTTTAAACAACAGGGTTGAGTAAAAAAAAAAAGTCAAAAGTGGTAAACTTAGTGTTTAAAACGTTGCATGATACACAGCCGGTTCAGGGACGGTTTGGGGACACGGTTACCTGAATAAAACTCACGATATAGCTTATTAACTGGCACGGTTTCCAGGGTACACGGTGGCAAAAGCTTAGTAAGTTATTCTGGTAAAACCTGGATGCACGTGATCGCTTTCTGAATATATAGTTTTTTTTTTTTTTTATTTCTGTTCACAAGGCAGCAAGTGATGACCTCTTTGATACGAATTGAAAACGATCGTGTTGTAATTTCGTTCTACCCTTGTAACTTACCCCACCCACTGCGAAGCGAGATGCGGAATGTAAATAAGGCTTCTCAAATGCACTTGATTACTTTTATTGTCCTTATCTGTTTTGTTTTCCTACCGCAATGATTTTAATGCGCAAACAGTTTTGTGCATTACGAAATGAGTAATAGAAGGTCTGTGATATACGCCACGATGAAGGGATATTGCACGTGCATTTACATCGACAAATGTTCTTACAAAATGCCATTACATATTTTGTAGGTGTTTCTACTAAAAATCTCTGAGCCACAGGACCAAGAAAAATTGCAACGTCTCTATACATTTCTATTTTGTGAATGTAAATAGAAGTAGCTATTTGAGCGCATTAGATTGTTGGCAGAAATGTAGTACGTTGGTCCGTAAAATTATTAATAAATAATTATAAATTGAAATATAATATGTATGGTGTGTTTTTGCGAGTGTACTTGTGTGTGAGTTTGTTAAAGTACCCGGTTTCGGTGTTTTCTCGTCCTGAAAAAATGGCTGGAATTAAACCTTAGTTTCCATGTGACCTTCAAGTTACTCGGAAGTAAGTGTGATATTACGAATGTCGAGTCTAAAATTCCTAAAATAAATCCAAAACTGTACTGCGCATGCCGATGGTTCAATAAAAGTGTTCTTGATCTTTAATTTATTTTTACTTCGTGTGTCACTTTTTCTTAACGAAGACGTATAAAACAAACTTTGTAAGCCAAAACAATTGTACGTCGCAGCCTCTAGCCTTTTTATGGTACTTTTAGTCGTAAATAAATAAACTAAATTTAAGCTGATATGTTTGATACTACATGTGAGAAAAAACACGAGTAACACAAAAACGTAACGACTGTCTTA